TGAAGAAAGATGTCAGCAGTCCAGTGTCCTGGCAAAGTTGCTGACTGTCATTAGATGTGTGTCATGGAAAAAAGGAAGTTCATTAGTGACTGATAATGGAAAAAGACATGTTCATAAGTGTTGTGAACTAATACCTGATTAGAGATTGGTAATTGTATAAAGATTCATCCTGTTCTGAGTTTTAAAACAGTTTTCCATTATCTAAGCAAATTATCACAATCAATGAAGGCATGTTAATAAGAACAGTTAGGTATAACATACAGCAAAGAGAGCAATAGTACATTATTATTTTAATTTTTTTTAATTTATGTTTATTCTAAAGTTTTCTTTTTATGGCCCTCTCACTGTAAAACAAAATAGTATGATCAATACGTCATGACAACATACTGTATGTTTTTCTCATCAAAATAAGTTAAGCAATATTCAACTTTTTAAAATAAGTTATACAAGATTCAACTCATGTTTTTAAGTCAGTTTAATATAATTTAAGTTTAAATGACATACAGCTATGTTGATTGTACTTAAAAATTTAAGGCACAAAATAAATTGCTGCCTTAAATGTACAATCAACTTAGCTGTACAAGTCATTTCAACTTAAATTATGTTGTTGTTTTTACAGTCTAAAACTATTATAATTTTTTTTAGTAACAACTTTGGCTTTCCAGACCTGCTATAAGAGGAGTCTGTGAATGAGCTCTTGTAAACAAAGTTATGTAATATTTATTTCACAGCCCATTGCTGTTATATTATACATAAGTATATGGTCAGGTTTCATAGAGAAAACTAACATAGAGGCACACGTGTCTACATGAGGGCACACATGACGAAATATTAAGTACAATTGGTTATTTGGTGCAAATTTCTGGCTAACCATTAAAAGTCTTTACCTTTCACAGAAGTCTCATGATCCTCTGGAGGTGTGGTCTTCTTTACTCTCCCCTCCTTCTCTAGTAATTATATATAAAAGACAGGACTGAGCTACAGTTAGTTGAGTCGTGGAGTTAAAGGCTAAGAAAGTTTTCAGGGTCATATTTACCTTGTGTGTTTTACACAGGAACTGAGCATTTGTTTATCAGTCAATTTATTGATAACGTAACCGATCGACCAGAAGTCATTCAACACGTTTGGTGAGTACTCTGTGTAGTTACTTTTAAGCTTTATCTGTATTACTACATTTGCATAATTTATTAATTTAATTTATGCATTTAGCAGACGCAGATGCATTCAGGCTATACATTTTTTACCAGTATGTGATTTACATCTGACAGTTTGTGTTGGGTTGCAACAGGTTTGCAAAATTCAGCACTATTTATTCAACAGTGGATTTTACCTCCAGGGCAAAGTTGATAGGATGTTGGTAATTTAATAAATCATTAATTTTCATTCATGTCAGCTCACAAGA